AGAACAAGAAAGCTATAAGCCAGCTCCTAGAGGTGAATGAATGAGATGAGGATAAAGGTGATGAAGAGAAGGCAGAACTACTCAAATCCTATTTTGCTTCAGATTATAATGGAAAAAACAGAAATTATCAAATAGGGAATTTAAATCTGGCCTAAATGAATTCAAATCCTGAGGTTCAGATGAATTCGATGCCAGGATACTGAAAGAACTTGCTGACATCATTGATGAGCTGCTGTCCTTGATCTTTGAGAAGGCAGTGAAGGAGAAAGCACCATAAGACTGGAATGGTACAAATGTTCTCCTGATTTTCCCAAAGAGGAAGAAGGTAAATTCTTCAAACGATAGCCCAGTGAGCTGAACTTTGGTTTCTGAGAAAATTCTACAGTGAATTACTAAAGAGATGTTTTGTGAGCATTTATAGTCAGAACAGCTAACGCTTACACAGTTCTTTAAGGAGGCAGTGCCACAGTGGAAAAAACCCTGGAGTGCTGGGTCTGGAGTCAGGAAGACTCTTCCTGAGTTCAAATCTGGCCTCAGACACTTACTAACTGCATGACCCTGGGTAAGTCACTTAACCCTGTATGCCTCAGTTTCCTCATCGTAAAATGAGATAGAGAAGGAAATGACAAACCTCTGTTTGCCAAGAAAACCCCAAATGGGGTCACAAAGAGTCAGATACACCTGAAAAGACCAAACAACAACAAAAATAAATCATTTAGGGCAAGTAGAGAGTTTATGAAAGAATATGACAGTCATAGAATTTCAGAGTTGGAAGGGAAGAGAATAAGGGGAATAAACATTTATTAAGCATCAATTATGCTCCAAGTACTGTGTTAAGTGGTTTACAAATATTACCTCATTTGATCTTCACAACAACTCTGGGCTATTATTATCCTTATTTTACAGTTGAAGAAACTGAGGCAGATAGGCAAAGTGAATTGTCCATGATCACACAGTAAGTGCCTAAAACTGGATTTGAACTCAGATCTTACTGAATCTAGGACCATCACTCTATCCACTGCACTACCAGCTGCCTCTAGGGACCTTAGGGACCAGCTGGTCCAACCCATAACTGGAGAAGGATCTTCTCGATAATATATCTGACAAGTAGTCTTCCAGCATTTGCTCAGAGGTCTCAGGTGATGGTGGGGACCACTCATTCTTCTTTTGGAATAAATAACAATTCACTCCTCTAAAAATCAATCAGTGGATGCATGACCTCATCTAATGTGGGTTCTTTCAAATTGCTTTTTTAAATTTGTATTTACATAAGCATTAATGTTTAGCTGTTGTGGATAAAAAAAGGAGATATGGGTTTACTAGAGACCACATTTATAATAAGCAAAGTGAGTGTTTGGGTCAGATGATTGGGGAGGTCTGAGATAGTCTTGGGGAAAGGAAGGATGAATTATCTGTTAGTGGTAGATAATGGAAGGGGAGAATTATATGTATTCATAAACAACGGTTCTTTGTTTTGGAAATTCGTATGTTTATAGATAATACACATGTAGTATAGACCTTTAAATGACAGTTGAATATACGATGAGGATTGAGTATGTGAGCTCAAAGGTAGGATTTGATAACTAGAAACATACCAGTTCCTTCTACAAACTCTGCTCTCCACTGACAACACCACCATCCTTGTTCAGGCCATCCTCACCTATCTTCTGTGTTATTGAAATAGCCTCCTATTAGGTCTTCCTGCCTCAAGTCTCTCCCTACTCCAGTTCATCCTCCACTCAGCTAGCAGATGAGAGATTCATTTGAATCTCTGACTATTTCAGTCCCCTAATTAATAAAGTCCAATGGCTCCCTATTGCCTGTAGGATAAAATACAAATTCCAGATGACTTTTTAAATCCTTCACAACTTGGCCCCAATCTATTTTTCCAGTTTCATAGCGCAGTGCCTGATACATAGTAGGCACTTAATGATTGTTTATTGACTAGTTGATATCACTGCGATCCAATCAAAATAGCTTTCTCTCTGTTCCTCACAAAAAACACTCTCCCATCTCCCATCTGTATGCCATTGTACTGGCCATCATCTCCTATGCCTCCCTCCTATCTCCCACCTCTTGTAATTACTATTTTCCTTCAAAACTAAGCTCAGACAATAACTTCTGTGTGAAACCTTTCCTGATCTCCCATAACGATTCTCTCTAGGATCATAGGATCATGTATTTCAAGCTAGAAAAGACCTCAGAGACCATCTAGGCCAACTCATTCTCAAAACCACCTTGTCTTCATTTTCTATTTATTCTGTATACATGCATATGTACATACATCTAGGTCTCTATTAGCATGAATAACGAATCTTTTGAAGTGGTCACATGTATTCAAAATTTATAAAATATGGTAATGGGTGCCTGTCTAACAGGAATATGCGGTTTGAATTCAAATAAGTCTACCTACCACTAAAGAGTTTGAATAATTCAACCAATCTCTTGCAGGATTCATTATTCACACTATTGGCAACTGGCTATATATTGCCTTCCCCTTAAGAATGTAAGCTCCTTGAGGGCAGAGGTTTATGGTTGTCCTTGTATCACTAGCTCAATTGAGAAACTTTCTCCATCAAAGCTCAGTAGTTTCAAAGGGGGAGGTTAGTGGAATTTCCACAGGAATTTGTATTAGCAGATTGGGAATGACTTAGGGTACATGTTAGGGGTGGGAGGATTGTTAGTAAGGGATTCTAGGGCAAAGATACTGAATTAGAAGACCCTGTAATAACATGATATCTATTCCCCAATCATAGGAGAAAGGAGTCACCTCACTTCCCAGCCTTGTATGAGGGAATAGCATTCTTGGTAGTAAATACAAAATGATATTGAATGATAGAGAAATATGTCTTATGGATAAATGATGTTGGGAATTATAGTTGTCTGAATAATAGTCTATGTAGTATGAGAGGGGAAAGGCCTGGGGTTATTTACAAGATATGTGACTATTCACAGGATAGAGCTATACTCTCACCCACAGAGGGATTCCTTCCAGGGATCATTGTCTTCTCATCCTGTGACTGGGTACAAAAGTTCCAGTAGATGGAAAAGTTTTATCTATTTACAGGTTTATGATCGAGTATATGTGTCCAAAATGATTGGGGTATACATAGAAAGCTACAAATCTATGCTGTCTGACCACTAGAGCTATTAGCGTGAGAATAGATAGGGAGTAATTCTGGGATTTAGTAGGCCTGGAGTCAGGAAGACCTGAGTTCAAATCTGGTCTCAGATACTTACTAGCTGTGTGACACTGGGCAAGTCACTTTAACCCATTTACCTCAGTTTCCTCCTCTGTAAAATGATCTGAAGAAGGAAATGGCAAACCACTCCAGTATCTTTGCCAAGAAAACCCCAAATTGGGTCATGAAGAGTCAGACCCGACTGAAGAAACAACTGAAAAACAAAAATGCTGGGGCATAAGTGTTTCAGCACAAGACCTTCTGTTTGACTTGGGGGAACATGAGGGTGGGGAAGTGTTGCTCTGAGTTAGGAATAACCCTCAAGTTCTGGAATGCTCTAATGATCAAATGAGATGATATTTGCAAAGTACTTAGCACAGTGCCTGGCATATAGTAGGCACTTACAGATGCCATCATCATCATTATTGTAATTATTATTAATTATGTTGCTGGATAAGGTCATAGTCCTGGGGGTATATGTAGACGAATGTGGTAGGGCATAGGATAGTAGGGAGAAAGAAGAGGGGGAAGTCCCCTGCTCTGGGATTCTCCTCTCACCCCGTATCCCATGCCTCACCTTTTGGTTCCCAGAGCCCACAGATAATCCTTGTCTCCTCTATCAGGCCTGAGATTTGCTCCATAACACTAAAATAAATTATGTTTGTATACACACACACACACACACACACACACACACACACACACACACACATACACACACACACGCATATATAGGTATACCTGGACCAGATTTCCAAAATCCCCAACCTATTAAAATGCTGGCTGAAATTCTCACATCCCAGGTGCAGTGAATGGAGGGAGTTTTGGGTCATTCCCTAAGGCTGTAAGAAAGGGACTCTGTCGACAAGGTCAGAAAAATAGCAAAAATGATATAATTTCTTTTTTATATTTTTATATATTACATATTTATATTATTAGTTATAATTAGTTATTATTATTACTATTAGGGAAGAAGAGCGGAAAGGACTAGAGATAGATAGGTACAATATAGGAATGAATCACTTGTCCTCTATTGAATTCTCAGGACATAAGACGTTGTTGTTGTTGTATAGAGAAATAGTGACAACTCATTGAAAGAGCCAGGTGAGGACCTGAGTTATAGTTACAAGGTTTCTAGGATCCTAGGTGAGTATCAGTACTAGCCCCAACATCTCTTAGTCCTGTCTTTTCCCTAAAATAAATAAATAAATAAATAAATAAAACACAACCACCAAAAGAGAATGGAAGGACAGAGGTTACAAAAGTAAATTCAACCAGTGAAAAAAACAGGAAATGGTCATAGAAGCCCTCTTATATTGTATATCTATCTATGCTTTGTGTATGTGTCTATGGGTGTTTGTATTATATTAATTAGACAATATTTATTAAGTGCATATTGTGTTCAGGGCCTACAAAAATGAAAGACTAAATAATCCCTGTCCTCAAGGTGTGCGGCTGTGGGTCCCAGGACCCTTATGGGGTGGGTGGGTGTGGATGTGTCCATGTTTAGGACCAGGAGAGGGGTCATAGAATCATGGCCTTTTTTTAAAAAAAGGCAATCGGGGTTAAGTGACTTGCCCAGGGTCACACAGCTAGTAACTGTCTGAGGTCAAATTTGAACTCAGGTCCTCCTGACTCTAGGGCTGGGACTCTATCCACTGAACCACCTAGCTGCCCCAGAATCATGGCCTTTCTAAGGGACAAGTAGAGCCAAGTAGAGCCCTACATGCTTGGACACGCCGTGTGTGCTTTATTTCCCTTGTGCCAAGATCTTCAGCACTGGTCAGAGCTGTCTGGGGAGTTATTGCAAGAACTCACTTTCAGAGATTTTTCGGGTAGTGACCAATCGATTGTCTCCTGGGCTCAGCGTCCTCTCGGGCATAGCGAAGGAGGTGGGAGCAGAAGGCAGGACTGCTGCTGTCCGAGGGCTTATCATCCCCAGTGGAACTCTGCGGTTCAGACAGTCAGTACCTGCTTGTGTCTTCAATTCCTTGACTACTGGCTGGGAGAATCTAGGAAGGGAACGATCACCATGGGCTTGGGTACTCAGGAAAGGTCAAGCAAAACCTAAGACAGGCAGGTATTGAAAAATGGGTGGGTAGACAAAGGGGAGAATAGAGCGGCATAAGCACCATTGCCAAGGTTAGACGGAGCATGGTGCAGCATGGGAGGCTTGGGGTAGGGCAGTGGGGACACTGGCCAGAGGGGAACCTGGGGGCACACAGGGGAACAGCAAGAGTTAAGGTCGAAACATGAGCAAGAACAAGATGGTGCAAGGCTGTGAAGGTCAGACAGAGTATTCTAGGCTATTGTTTGTAGAACCTGGGAGCTCCTGGGATCCGTTGACAAACTGGCTTTCTCTCTCTTTCTTTCCCTGTCCCTTCCTTTCTCCTCTTACTTGTCATGAAGGGGCCCAGAGGAATCATCTCTCTACTCCAGCAAGGTGATTCTCTAAGGCTTATCCTTGGGGGAGGCTGCAGAGGCTTCCTGCAAAGACCCTTCTATGATAAAGAGATAGTCACGGAGATAGAGGAGGAGGAAGGGAGGGAGAGAGAGTGTGTGGGGGAGAGAGAGAGAGAGAGAGAGAGAGAGAGAGAGAGAGAGAGAGAGAGAGCG